AGTTTTCCAGGGCCTCCCCCCTAGGGATGCTCTGAGACCATCGTGCTCAAGGTTAGCAGAGTGTAGAGTCCCATCAGCCACAGCTGGTTCTCCCAGAGAGTCTCAGGCAAGAATAATGGAGATTCAAACTCCCCCCTCCCCCGCCAGCTCCTCAGCCAGGTACTCCAACCCACTGAGCTATGGACCCGTTTTAGACCTGCAGGTTTCTTTTCCAGCATCCCAGACTCTGTATTTGAGAGCGTGGTACAGGGGGCGACCGTTTTGCATGATCAAACAGGACAAACATTCAGCTGAGCAAGACAATACGTGTTCAATCTCACAAGAGGAAAAACCAACCCTCTTTATTTCAAAATATAACACTTTGGGTACATTCATCAGCTGAGCCTCCATTAGCACTCGGGCTCCTCGCCGGAGAGACAGCCGGCAAACAGAGACCACAGAATCATCCTACCACCAACCCTGCAATGCAGTCATAGCCCAGCCTTGCTTGAAGGCAACGACCAGCTATAAAAGTACCAATTCAGACATAAACTGCTTTGCTACAACAGAGGATTTGGCCTTCTCTTGCACGGTCAGGGTTTTAGAAATTAAACCAGCTGCCCACATTAAGAGGAAACCCTTTCAGCCAGCTGTCCTTTGCTTCCTTGCTTGTGCACTGCAAGCAACTTCCTCCTGGCTGGTGCTAGCTTTTTCAGGAAGGGTGGCTGGTCTTTAGCTGATGCCATTCAGTGCAAAGGTTGGGCAAGGCACCCACAGCCGTTGATGCAACGCCCCCCTCCCTCCCTCCCCAGAAAGGCAACTTAAAGTGCATGGTGTGCCTTGGAAAACTCAAAAACAGTGGGTACGACAGACATGCTACAGTGACTCCACCCGTCTTTGGTGCCTCGTGGGTAAAGAATTTGGACCCTGGCTACCTGAAGCACAAGGAGACCCTTTGCTTTGCATGGCCCAGTTGGGGGGAAACAGACCCCATCATCCCCCCTGTGCTGGAGCTTGGAACCATTCTTGTTTCTACATTCCACCTCCCAGTCTTCTCTAGACCATCCTGGCTCAGGGCGTTGAATCTCCGAAAAGTAGTTTTCGCAATGCCTGCCCTGTAACGACTCAATACGGAAATTTCAAATTCACACAATGTCACACATTTTTGGTGCAACTTTGAAAACAGATAAGACTGTCGGACAGGTCAGCTCCGAGATGGCTTGTCGGGAACTCAACACCAGAAACCTGCAGCTAGCTTCCTCTTCCCCGCATGCACTGGGGAGGCAGGTCAGTCCACGTGGCTGCAACCTCCCCTCCAGAAGACCCACCTTGTGGATGGACAGGCTCAGGACATCACAAGCTCAGTTGGATGCTGCTGAAGTGGAGGATTCGCAATGGAAGGGACCAGCAAACTGATGGATAGTTTAGCGAGTTAGGTCTCTGGCTGTGGAGCCAGAAGTTGGGTGTTCAATTCCCACTTGCGCCTCCTTGAAAGGGGCTGGACCGGATGATCTATAGCGTCCCTTCCAGCTCTAGTGTTCTAAAATTATTATTGGTATTCATGAATGGGAAATCTCCGTCCTAGTCCATCATCACTATCCCCTACACCACACTGTGTAATCCCAGAAGCCTTAACAGCAAAACTGTGTTCACAAACAGGTTGCATTCCAAACCCCCTCCCAAAGTAGCCCACCCCAGCTCAAACGCGGGCCACGTTCGCCTGGTGGCACAATTAGCCATTTGGGCCTCCTTTTCTCCTCCCTTGATTTGGGACGACCGTTCAGCTTGTTTTGAGAGGGCAGAGGATTTCCACCCCATTCTGTGGTGTCATTGTGCGGTCACACCATGACTCCACAGCCTCTCCCTGTGCACCTATTTTAGACGCCCGATGGGGAAGAGCAGGGCTTCTTTGAGAAGCTAAAATCAGTCAGAGGGAGAGAACAGGGCAGTGATGACAAGGCTGCAAATATTGAATATTGTGGAGAGAAAATTGTGTGCGTAAAACCCTTCACTGGCTGGCTGAGCGAATTAAGATATTCTGGCTGTGGAGGATCAGGAATTCGAATCCCCCACAGGGCTTACAGGGAGAAGAGCCAGCCTGGGTGGCCTTGGGCCAGCTGCATAATTCCAGGAGAAAGGAATGGAAAACCACTTTGGAGTCCTCTCTACCCGGAAAAGGGTTGCCGTGTATCAAAACTGACTTGACGACACATGATTATTAGTATTATTATTTTTAAAACTTCACAGGCAGTTACTACAATGTGTGACCCAGAAAAGTCTCAAGTCTTTTCCGGCAGCTGCTCTTCAATTTAGTCCGAGGGGGAACATGGACCTTTTAAAAAAAAGGAAACGGGGAGAGGAAGATCAGAATACAAATCTGTCCAGCTGTCCGTTTCACGAGTGTTACTTCTCTGCCAGCAGAATTCAATTCACATTTTTTGAAGCTAAGGCTCGTATGCCCGTTTCTTACCTGTTCCAGGGTATCAACTTAGGGATGTCAAGACTAGTTTCCTAGTAATCAGCCGAGCAGCTTTCCGCAACATAAGCAAAGGGTTTGAGCCACAGAATGCATGCTCTCAGTCCAGATTAAAAATGGAGATTCAAAACAACTCCCAACGTTCTATACTGGTTTTCTCCAATGGGTCAAAACTATATGAGCCATTGAGTCAGAATTGACTTATACTGACCCTAATGGAGCATTCAAGATGTCAAGAAATCCTTCTCAGATATTCGTTGGACGAATGAAACATACTGTTAATTCCTCTGGAAAAGGCCTACAAGAAAGCTAATTCACCAAAAAAGGTGTTACTTCCCTTCATCCTGGACTTTCAAAGGGCTTTTGAAGTCAAGGAAGACTGCCTTATGGAAACTAAGGATCCTGTTCTAACCACTCGTTTATCTTCCAGGTGACCAGCAAGAGACCTTACCTTTTGTTACCCTTCAGGTTCTCTGCTCCCTGCTGGGTTCAAAGGGGGATTTACAAGTAATTATAAGCAATTAATGATTTTTTGGGGGGGGGGGAACTGAAGGATGCATATTCTCCCTTTCCCCTGGGCTCTGGGAGTATACGTTGAGAGTGGAGAATCCACGGCTCTTTCAGGCAAGCTGGAATTATTTAAGGTAGGATAATATATAATATTTAAAGCTTTCCTTTAATGTATAATATTTAAAATTTTCCTTTCCTATCTGGAACTCTGTAGCCACACGGTCGTAATTCTAGAATTTTTCATTAGCAAGGATCTGCTTTGTTCTCTTCCTTTCTACGTTTTCTTATCATAATTTTTAATAAAACTTGCAAGCCTAGCCTTTAAGGTAACAGAGAGCGGGAAAGAGCTATCGGCTTGATCATTCTACTGTGCCGTCTGCCATTTTTGAAGGTCTCCCATAAAGTAAAACAGGATCAATGGGAGTGGAGGTGGTGAAAATGAAACACAATCTGCCTGGGATTCGCTGGCGATTCAGTCCTGAGGCAGAAGTCCCTCACCTTTCACACAAGGTAAGTGAGATAGCTAAGGAGTGACTTTACCAGTTTCGTCCCATCCCTACTGAATTCCCATGGCTGAGTGGGGATTCGAACCCAGGACTCCTGACTCCTAGCCCATCATGCTATCCAATATATCGCACTGGGTACAGTCACCCCACACGTGGCCACAGCTGGCTGGATGACAAAGGAGCTGTAGTTGGGAGAGGCTGGTATAGATTACAGCAGACCAACAGTGCACCCGAAATTTGACCACAACTCCCATCTCCTCCTAGTCAATGGGAATCATGGGAGCTGTGGTTCAAAAACATCTGGAGGACCACACAGATCTAGGCAGGTCTTACTTGGTACCTTGCCCTAGTGGCTGGAAAGTAACTTTTTTAGACCACCACTCCCAGAATCCATTGGCTAGCATGGTCCCTGGAACCTGTAGTTGAAGATCCCATTAAAATGTAATAGTCTTTTAGGTGCTACATGTTTTAATCACTTTTTTTTGTTTTGCTTCTTTGGATTTGGCCTGTAGTTTGAAAAGTTACCATATTTTCCCATGTATAAGACTATACTTTTGTCTAAAATCTTTAGACTAAAAATTGAGGGCCGTCTTATACACGGAAGCAAGCTGAAGTCTAAAATCTATAGACTAAAAATTGAGGGCCGTCTTATAAGCTTAAGCAAGAACAAACACAAGTGGAGGGGAAAGCAGGGATCAAAGCGATCCTGCAACACTTTGATCCCTTTCCCACAGCACTTGCTAAGCCCCACTCAGATTTCTTAATTTTGGATTACAAACGTGGGGGGCGTTTTATACATGGGGGCATCTTATACATGGAAAAATACGGTACTTTCCTAAGCTCTGGTTCAGGACTGAGTTTTCACTGCAAGACACCCAAAACAGATCTCTTGAGGCAGCGTTTAATCATCTTAAGTCCTGGACTCACTGACCCCATCCTTTTGAGAAACAAAGAGAGGAAGGAGACGTTTCCTTCATGTCTTTTCTCCTGCCAAAAGGTTGCGCTTGGGTGCGGAGAACGAAGCTCTTTGGAGGTGGTTAAGCAATGCCGTGGAGGGACGCATGCTTCTTCCAGATGACTTGCCAACTGCAAGAAGCCTGGAACAACCAGGTCAAGCAACAACAAGACCCATGCTAACTGGCTAATAAGTTAAACATTTGCGAAAAGGAAAACTTGCTGATGGGAGCACAACCAGCCAAAGCAGGGGGTATATGCCACATGCAACCTTCGTTTGCTTTGGAGCTCCCCGAGGAAAGAAACGAGAGCATACCAACACGACTGCTATGTGATCCTCGAAAATATGAGGGTTGCAGAAGTTCACTAACTTGGCCGCTATTCCCCATTTCAAAAAGTACCAACCCCAAACATTGTTTGAGAACAATCAACGGGTCTTGACTCCAACCTCCTTTCCAAGCCATTAAATATGTAGAGAGGCTCTCAATCATGGCAGGAAGACAAAATATCTCTCCCAGCTAAGGACATGCAATGGAAAGAGTGACCCAGAACGGTCCGGTCCTGCTGTTGGAAGGACAGGCAGACTGGGGGGGGGGGGAACCACCTCTTTCTTGGAAACACTCGAGAGTGCAAGAGTTCATCTGTTAGACAGCCCTTTTATCCGACACCCGATGCCTTTACAGCTACCAAAAGAGCACTAATCACGCTTCCGGAAGCTGCTGTAACCTCACCGGCTTCCATCACAGCAGGATCTGCGCACCAAAGGATGGTCTTAGGGTCCAAACGCAGAGCCTTCGTGGTCTGTCCCCAATTTTATAACATCGGGAGGGGAGCCGGGAGGGAGCCGAAGGTCTTCTCCCATCTTTGACGGCCCTCTCCGAGCCCGGCTCTAGGAGGAGTTCTGCAGCATCAGGCGCGAGTTCAGATTTCTTGCCTCCAAGCTTCCGTGGGTGAAGAGGAGAGGGGTGACGTCCATCGAAGGTGCCGCCAAGGGAGGGATCATGCCACAGCTGTCACTCCCCGTGAGGGAACCATACCATCCAGAACTCTGAGGAGTCGTCAAGCTAAGAGGAGGAGAAGATAAAACAGGGTTTGTGGGTGTTCTTGAGAACAAGACACCAAGCTCATGAGAAGCCATGGCTCTCTAGACATTGGGCTGCGATTCTCAGCCCTCCTGGAATCCAATGTCTTCTAGAACAGCCCCCCCCCCAACCTTGGGCCTCCAGATGTTCTTGGACTACAACTCCCAGAAGCCTTCCCCACCACCTCTGCTGGCTAGGATTTCTGGGAGATGAAGTCCAAGAACATCTGGAGGCCCAAGGTTGGGGACCACTGTTCTAGAAGGCCATAGGTTCTTCAGCTCAGATCCAAAAAAATTCACAAGCTGCCTTAGAACCAGCAGATGACCATCATCATCATCATCATCATCATAGAACAGCAGAACTGGAAGGGACTCTATGAACACGAGTCCAGCCTCTGTCAAGAAGGCTCAGTGGGGGAACCGAATGCCCCACAGCCTAAACCACAGAGCTCTCCAGCCACTTCTAGAATGCTAGATTAGTACTCCCGAGACCCACGTTCAAATCCCTGCTCATTCAGCCACACCCTGTGTTGAAACTGGCAGGGAGGAGAGGAAGATGGCAACCATCCTCCCCCCCCCCCGAGGAAGGAAAGCTGTTACATGACATGTGTCACAAACAAGTTCTCGGACCACGTCATGTTGTGATCCCCCTTGGGTAAGATTTCTACTCCTGGAACAATACTTTTAAACTAACCAGTAAGCCAGTCTTAGGAAACCTATCTTTAACTTTTTTTACAATGGAAGGGAAAAATTTAAAAGCCGTCAAATGCTGGTGTTGTGGGAAAAGCGTAAAAGTCTGAATTAGGACTCCAGGAAAGTGGGATCTCTACCCCTAGAGTAGGCCATTGGTCTAGAATGGGCGGGGTATAAACCTAATAAAATAAATCTAATAAAATAAATAGGTTATGCAGTCCCTCCCCTGGCATACCGCAGAAGACAGATCCGGACACCGCACCCCCCTTTGGTTCTTATCAGCTGCTATTTCACAAGGAAGTGAGAGATGAAAGCAATGGGTTGGTGGTCTGTCACCTCTCATACCTGATATGGAGTGTGTGAGGCTCACATGTTGGAAGATCAGGGTTGTCTTGTGGCAGAGTAGTTAAACTGCATTACTGCAGCTAAACCTCTGCTCCCAACTTGATTCAATCCCAGGTAGCCAGCTTGAGCCTCACTTCTGAGGTTGGTAAAATAAGTACCTAGGTTTTTGGGGGCGGGGGGGCAATGTATAGCTTGCATAATTAAACTGTAAGCCATCCAGAAAGTGCTTCGAGAGCCATGGGACAATATATAAGCAGCAGTTTGTTTTCAGTTTTTTTTTCGGGGGGGGGCTTTAAATTTCCCTTATCCTTCTGTCAGTTGGTCACCAGCCATGGGGACAGAGTGGTGGCTAAAAAGGATGTGAACAAGTGACACCCCCCCCCATCCCATCAAAACACTCCTTTCTATAAATCAAATGCTACCATTACACAACAGAAAATGAGCTCAGGTGCCTACAAGGCTGTGTAAAAACTGTTGGCAAAATGAAATGTGAAAAGGAGGAGAGGAGCAAGGGCAAAAGGTTGTGGCCCATTCGGAGAGGAATAGATTTATTTTAGTGTGAGCTTCTTCAGAGCTGAAACTATGTTGGTGGGATCTGCAAAAGTGAACACGCTGGACATTCTGAGGCACCACACACACACAAATCCTTTTTGACGGTGTTTCCCCACTCCAACACACACACAAACACACATACACAGAGCAAGCACATCTCTGCCACTGAGAACTAAGGTGATGTTACTCCCGGAGCTCGGTGTCTCCACTAATTTTATTAAGCCAAGTATCGAGCAATAATGTATTTTTTTATTTTATTTATTTTATTAGATTTATACCCGGCCCATCTAGACCAATGGTCTACTCTGGGCCACAATGATAATAAATGGACAGTTTCTTGGAGGAAAGGGCAACAGTGAAGTTCAGCTGTCCTGGATACAAAGATGCCTTGCGATCTTCCCATTTGGATTACTGCCCTATGCTTTACGTGGGGCTGGCCTTGAAGACGATACCAGGGGGTACAATCAATATGGGACAGACTACAGGGAGGATGAATAGGCAGAAATCATATGAAATCAAGGGATTGGCACAGGCTGAGAATGTACTTCCATTCGGAGGTTCAAGGGGGTGATAATGAACAGCAACAGCCTGGGACCTATCATCCTGATCTAAAGATTCCCAAGAAGACTCCTCTGTGTTTCAGCTCAACTAGTCGCATTGTGCACGAGCTGTACACATCCTGAAATCACAAAGTGAAGTCTTTAACCAATGCCAATCTGCCACTGCCAATGACATCATTCCCATTGGGCAGGCAGAGTAGAGCAACAGGATTTTGGCTAATAAACAATGCCTACAAGTGGTGCAAAGAAGATACTTTTGACAGGTCTCCCGCAGTGCAGAAATAAACAGCCTACCTTCCTCCACACAGCCTCGGAAGGTCGTCGTCACTGTCGTAGCGTCTTGGATTGTCAAAGAAGTAGGCCCGGGAGTTATAACTGTGGCTGTTGATCATTCCAGCAGGAGCCTAGTAGGTGAATCAAGGGCTTTAAGGACAATAATAAATACGTGCCATCAAGCCTACACTTCCCTTCTACACTGGCCTTCTTAGAGTTTTATGGATGGATTACAGAGGGAGCTTGGAGAGGGAGGACTCTGTCCTTTTTTGTTGATGGGAAAGAGGAAATGGAAGACCTTCTGAACCTCTCCAAGCTACGATTCCAAAGGCTCAGAATTAGGTGTGCAAACAAATCAAGCCGAAAGAAAAAAAATCGGCAGTTTTGAGGTCAACACATCAATCATAGCTTTTCTGACTTCTGACAAAGCAGCTCTAAACAGTGAATATGCACATTTTAGGTTTTTTGGGAATACTGATCCCACAATTCTCCTTTTCAGGAGCCCACCTGCCAGATCTAGATTGCACAGATATACAGTGCTGCCTCACTTGACAATAATCCGTTCCGTTAAAATCGCTGTTAAGCAATATTGTCGTCAAGCGAAATTAAAAAAACCATTGGAATGCATTAAAAACTAGCTAATGCGTTCCAATGGACGAAATACCTCATCGTAAAGTGAAGATCCTCCATAGGGGAGGCCATTTTAAATTGCTGTCTTCCGGAAATAGGTCTGGAAAACAGCGGGCGGCCATTTTGAAACCCCGACGATCAGCTATTTTTGATCATTGTGAAGTGAAAAACCGAAGCAGGGACCGATTCAATGTAAAGCGAAAAAATCCCATTGAATTGTCGTTTTGCGATCGCTACAGCGATTGCAAAAAACTAATTGTAAAATGGTTTTGTCATCTAACAGGGTCATCGTGAAGTGGGGCCCCACTGTATAAATGGTGCTCGCCTGGGAAGAAGGCCCCGCTGGAAGGCTTCACACCTTAGAGAGGCCTAACTTCCTGTTTGAAAAGGAAACCGCCTTGAGGGAAGCATTCTTTTCCAACAGGAAGTTAGGATGAAGCTTGCCCGTTGGGCCTTCTCTCCAGGCGAGCACAATTTAGGTTTCTGTGTGGTCTGGGCCCCACAGGTGGGACTCTCAGAAAAGAGCATTATGGAATTTGCACTCCAAAAAAGTCCAAAACGTGCATCGCTACAAAACAGTGATGCTGTCCTGTATTCCAAACCAATTAAACATATTCCAAGGAAAGGAATGACCAGATCAACCAGAATGAAGCTGGAGTGGGTTCAATCACTGAAACACGATCCGTGATCACCTTTCCCTTACGATGATTGAGGAAGATGAAAGCTAAAGGCTCAACCCCTCCAGAGGGCAGGATGCTGTGGACAGTCTGACCACCATGCTGTGGTGAGGTGGGGCAGGGCCTACAGCGAAGCCCCACTCCTGAATGGGCCCATGAATGCCTCTTTCCTCATGCATGAAGGGTGAGAAAAGGGGGAAAAATAGATCAGTCCATGAGCCGAAGATGATTATTTTGCCCCAACTAGAACAGATCCATTAAATCAATGTGACCACCCTCAGTCCACTGAGGCAATGTGTGTACTCTTGTTGGGTCTCATGACTGGATTTAGCTCTATGGGAACTTCCCGTTTATTTGTAGGCGTGCCTGGATTTTTGGTCACACTGTCACTAATTGGAACAAGGAATACTTTTGTTTCTTAGGCAATCGTGCTAGCTCTGCAGTCAACTCCAGAACTTAAGTGTTTTGCTCACACACATCTCCCCCAATCCTCCCCTTTCCTACACAATCTCTTCTAATTTAACTTTATTTATTTGATTTATACCCTGCCTATCTGGTCTACTCGACCACTCTAGGCGGCTTCCAGTATAGGATAAAACAATAAAACACAAGAACATTACATAATCATTTGATACAGTTACAATAAATAGAATGAGAATAAAATAAGAAGGAATAGAAAAGAAATCAGGTATTGACTGGAGGGAAGGCCTGGATGTACAACCATGTTTTTAATTGGGTTTTAAAGATTCTCAGCGTAGGGGCGCACAAATCTCTGAAGGGAGGTTGTTCCAGAGGCAAGGAGCCACCGCCGAGGAGGCCCGGTTTCGTGTCTTTTCCTTCCGGGCCTCTCTCAGCGTCAGGCTCCTCAGCCTCACCTCCTGCCTCGTGCGGGTGATCCGAGTAGATCTAGGTGGGAGCAGGCATTCCGCCAAATATCGAGGTCCTAAACCATTTAGGGCCTTGTAAGTAAGCATTAAGACTTTGAAGTCGACGCAGAAACGAATGGGCAGCCAATGCAATGCTTCCTCCCCATATTTTATTCCCTGCACAGGACCTTTTTTCTTACGGGGTTGAACATTTCCCTCCAACTATCTTTGTTTTCAATGCAAAAAGCAGGTCATCAAGCAAATCCCTTCTCCACCTTACCAAGTTCTGGGACAGCCGTTGCGCCCGGAAAAAGAGGACCACAAACATAGTTGGGATGAATTCCCAGAGGAAAAGCACCACGCCAAAGACCACGTACTCTTCGCTGCCAGCTTTCTCCCCTTGACCCTGGAGGAACAGGAAAAAGGGGGCTCAAGTCTCGAGATCCAGCGTGCAAGTAAGAAAAGGAATGAGAAAACCTTGGGCCAAAAAGGCATTTCTCATGATAGGATTGGGGCCTCATGGTGGCTCTTCTTCTCCATCACCTCCCCTGCCCATGGACCAAAAGGGGTGTTTATTCTCTCCTAACCTTCCCTGCTTTTCCTTCCTCGTTGGGGGTACAGGAAAGAAAAGGGGCAATTGAGCTGCTTGTGCACTAACATGACGCAGAACGCGCACCGCTTGGAGGGAATTTCGAGAAGGTGGCGCTCCAAGGGCCCTCCTGACCTTATCGGAAAGGCTGTCCCAACCGTAGTTGAACACGTGCTCCGGAGAAATCGCCACCGCCACCAAGTTGTAGAAAGCCCTCGAGGAGTACAAGAGGACGACAACGGAACCCACCGAGATAGCCTGGCAGACCGAGGTGCCCTAGTTCGGAAACATAAAGACACTCACACATACAGGCAGGGGACATTAAAAATACAGTACGCCGGCACACAGATCCTTCCCCTTAAGTGGCTGTTTCAAGATGGGTCAATTGTGCATGAGTGAACTGCCCTAGAACAGCCGTGCATTTTTAAAACCAGCTTTCGAACCGTCGAGCATGCAAAGTTCATGATGCCAAAAAGAATCAGATCGGACAAAACAGGCATCTCCTCACAAACAGGAAGGCTTTTATTTTTTATATCTATTCTTAGCTCCGTAGCCCAAAGAGAGCATTACTATCCATTTCTCTTTGATTTGATGTATGTTCTTGCCTTTCCTCACGGGAGCGCCAGATGTCTAACAACGTCTATAAAAAACATTGTTAATCTCATGAACGATAAAGATCTAAAACCATAGGTCTAAAACCATAAATGTCACACCTTCACAGTTATAAGCATTGTAAGTACTTTTTAAAATATCCAATACATGGAAAACAGGAAGCAACAGCCTGAGACCCACTAAATCCCTTTCTCATTTCCCTGCAGTGCTTGTACAAATACACAAATTTTAAAATATGAGCATCGGGAAGACAAACGTGGAGAATGGGGTGGGGTCGAGGCAACCAGATCTCAGAGAGGGGGAAATTCTTCCACCAGTAGATACGGGTGTGTTGACTGAGACATTCAAGAACAAGCCCATGCAGGCCATCGGATTGGGGATTAAAGTGGAAAGGGGAGAGTCTGTGGGTCTTGGTCTTCTTCCTCTGTGCTTAGTTCCGAAATGCCCACTGCTATCTTGCCACCCACAGCCTCTGGTGCTGGGTCCTGCACAAATTCTGCCCACTCTCTCCTTCTGTCTTCTCGTGAGAAAGGGCCATGGGCACCCATTCCCTGCCACGCTTTTTGCAATCCTCCCACAAGTGGGGAAAAACATATTATTTTTAAAGGGCTCCACTTCCCCCTTGTGGCAGCTGACAAGAGGCATTCTGGGACTTGTTGTCCCAAAAAGTAACTTTATCCTACAAAGCCGTTGGCCGAAACCCCTTGCTTCCCCATGTTTGCTACAGGGAATGTTCATTTTTAACTAGGATTTTAAACTGCAATCACTCCTGTTCAAGTTTCCCTACATTGTCTTACTTTTTATATCATTTTGCTGCAAAAGTTTTGATTAGGAGGTTTCTCGGGGTCAAATACCCATCTGCTTCCATTTTTATAAAGCCTGCAAAAACACCCTGTACATGGAAAGGGGCCTATATTTGATCTGCTCCTGCTAATACAGGCAGTGGGTTCAGAAGTGCCTTTTTCTGTACAAGCATCACAGCTCTTTTGCAAGCAGGCGTGCTAAACTGGAGAACCCAGCAAACAGCTGTACCATCATGCAATGTTCGGACAAGTTCCATTGGGGGAGTGAAGCTCTCAGCCACGGAATGTTCACAAAGAGACTAAATTCTACAAAGCAGCGAGAAGCTTTTTGGGATCAACCCCATCATGCCAGCTTAACCAGGATATGAATCTAAAAAAAAATTCTATGCTCTGCTTTTGGACTCAGGATCTGCTTCAACCAATACCTCCACCCACAGTAAATTTGCCACCACCTCAAGCTTCCCATCTATAAAATGGGACCCACAGTATAGAGAAGCTCAGTGGTTTAGGTATCTTGCTGCGGAACCAGAGACTGGCAGTTTCATTCCTGACTGTGACTCCTAAGAGGAGAAGCCAGCCTGGGTGGCCTTGGGCAAGCTGCACGGTCCCAGGGCGCCCCTAGAGGAAGGGAAGGGTAAAACCACTTCTCTACCTAGAAAACCCTGGAAAAGGTCATTGTAAGTCAGAACTGACCTGATGACATGCAATTATTCATTAGGGTCTCCCTACTAAAATCCACCAGACTTCCCTTATTCAGAATCTAGAGTTTTGAAAAATCAAGATTTTAGGTTCCCTTACCTTGGACTCGAGGTAAACATTTGCCGATGACATTCTGGACAGCTTGTACATGGAACAAGCCAACAAGACGGCACAGAGAATGAAAAGGCTATCGTTAACCACGGCCTGGGTAAAAACCGCCCACGTCAGCTGGTCCTCCGGCACTTCGTCCTGTGCCAACAAGGCACACGTCAAGTTCACAAAAATGAAGAGAAGACTGGTTGAAATGGAGCCCATGTACAAGAGGGCCCTGGGGGAAAAAAAGGATCGAGATACTTCAGAAGATGGCTCTCATTCTTTGTCATTAATCAGGCTCTTCCTTTATTCTATTCTTAATTAATTTCTCTACCACAACCTCTTCAGGTTTATAGGTAAAAGTTTCCTCCCCCTTGACATTTAGTCCAGTCATGTCCAACTCTAGGGCGTGGTGCTCATCCCCGTCTCCGAGCCATAGAGCCAGCGTTTGTCTGAAGACGGTTTCCGTGGTCACGTGGCCAGCGCGACTATACATGGAACGCCGTGACCTTCCCACCGAGGTAGTTGTGGCAGCTTGAAGATATTCTGATCCATGAAAAGGCACAAATTTGTTTCCCTGTGGACTTTCACAGATCAAAATCCACATCCTCAGATATATGGAGTGCCCATGAACCAACATCAGACCTTGTTTAAAGCTTTGCTTGTGACTGGCTCATAAATTCATTGGGGTTCCTTCTGAATTTTCAGTTAGTGCCTTCTAAAGATTAATCTATTGAGACAAACAATCCCGGAGTTTATACTTACTTGTATCGGTTGAATTCCGCCACACACTTGACTTTGAAAATGACCTACCGAGAAAGAGAAAACGCTTAAGCTTTCTTGATAGCAATGGAATTCCTTCTATCATAGTCTAACGGATCATAATATAGACACTGGAACTATTTTGATACCCAACAGAAACAAAAAACAGCCACAGCACCCAGATGGGAACAACAGCTTCCATGTCACAAGATGCTGGCCTAGGAACAACATTCTCCTTTATCCCATCTTGTTTACCACCACAGAGAACAACCGGCCCTTCTACACACTTGTTTTGATTTTCCACGAAGCTGGAGTTTACTATTCAGGAGTTTCCAAAAGATGCTCTTTATTTCGAAGGAAAGGAATCTTTCTGACCGGCACAAACAAGTGCACACAAACACACTACCTCTGGCTGTTGCGTTCAGATTTGGTGGCCCAAAGGCTTTGTTGTTGTTTAGTTGCGTCTGACTCTTCGTGACCCCATGGACCAGAGCACGCCAAGCCCTCCTATCTTCCACTGCCTCCCAGAGTTGGGTCAAATTCATGTTGGTTGCTTCGATGACCCTGTCCAGCCATCTCGTCCTCTGTCGTCCCCTTCTCCTCTTCCCCTCACTCTTTCCCAACATCAGGGGCTTTTCCAGGGAGTCTTCTGTTCTCATGAGATGGCCAAAGTACTGGAGCCTCAGCTTCAGGATCTGTCCTTCCAGGGAGCACTCAGGGTTGATTTCCTTTAAAAGCTGGGGCAGTTAAGCCCATGGCACGGTTCTCTGCCAGCCCCTGCAGTGCCATGGACTGATGGTGAAAGGCCAGCCGTGCGAGGTAGCCCTGGAAGCAGGCAGCCAAAGTGATAAAACAGGACCAAGAGGGAAACCTCTCAGCACCCGCTCTGGTTTTATCAAGAAAAAAGAGGCTTCCTCGCCCGTCTGGCTTTGCTCCTTTCAAGTTCCCTCAGCTGGTGTAGTTGGTAGCACCCACAGGCTTGATGCCCTTAGCTATGGAGATCTTCTCATACATTCTTCTCTCCCTACATGCGTTTCCTTGCCTCTCAAATCTATTGGATCATCTGTAATCCTAGCCTCCTGGGTGAATTAACACACTGAGCACCACAAAAATTCCCCTTTCCAGAATTTCCCCCGTTTATGGATGACTGAGGCAGAAGCTTTCACGACAACTCCACACCTAGTTATCTTAACAATCCTTGCTAGCGTCTTGCAAACTTGGGGCCATGGCTTCTTTGATAGATGCCTGGTTCAGTAATACCACAACTGAGCAGGATCTTGGGACCAGTAATACTACAATTGAGAAGGATCTTGGGAGTTGTAGATCAAACTGGCTGAAGATGAGCCAGAAGTGTGTAGATCAAACTGGCTGAAGATGAGCCAGAAGCGTGACGCGGCTTCAAAAAAGGCCAATGCTATTTTAGGCTGCATTAACAGAAGTAGTCTCCAAATCCCACGAGGCACTAGTTCACCTCTACTCGGCAGTGGTTGTGTTTCAACTTGAGTACTGTGTGTCCTATTCTGGATGTTGACAAACTAGAGCAAGTTCAGAGGAGAGCAAGAAGGATGATCTGGGGACTGGAAACCAAGCCCTAGGAGGAAAGACTGAAAGAAATGGGCAAGTTTATCCTTGAGAAAAGACAACTGAGGGGAGATAATATGATAGCACTTTTCAAAGACTTGAAAGGCTGTCATCCAGAGGAGGGGCAGGATCTGTTCTCAATCATCCCAGAGTGCAGGACACGCAACAATGGGCTCAGGTTGCAGGAAGCCAGATTTAATCTGAATATCAGGAAAAAACCTCTTAACTGTTGGAGGGGCATGACAATGGAACCCATGACCTCTAGAGGTGGTGAGGGCTCCAACAGTGGAGGCATTCGATAGAAAATTGGGCAGTCAGCAATCAGATATCCTTTGATTAGGTTTCCTGCCTTGAGCGGGGGGGGGGGGTTGGAGTCAATGGCCTTAAGAGGCCCCTTTAAACTCCACTATTCAATGATTCTACGTTATGTCTTCCTCTTTTCCTGCACCCTTCCCTTATTTTATCCTCGCCTTTAAGAACTGAATGTAGTTTTGAGATGTGCGTTCGGAACTTCTTGTTTTGTATACTGTACTTCAAATGACCATTGCTTTTAACCAATTATTGCATTTTGTGGGTAAGCATGCTGTACACACCCAGCCTCCAGAAGGAAAGGTAGCAAGGGAAAGTAGCAGAGGCCTTTGAAATCCAGTCAGGAATGGCAAGTTGGACAGAAATGGAACCAATACAAATAAATACAAGATTTGGACGAATGGAGATTGGGCATGATTTTTTGAGCATTAATGCTAATCTCAAAACTTTCAGATCCGTCGGCTTCAAGCAGTTCTACAGGGAGTGGGGGAAATTGGAAAGGATTCTGCAGAAGTGGTCGCTCTGGAACTCTCGGCTTTCAAGGTGGAATACAGAAAAATATGCACTGCTGATTTATATAACCTCGCGCTTTGTCCAAGGGCTGTGAGAGCTATCCATGTACCTTTCTGGTAGGACGCACCACGGATTCTGCTAAAAGTGGGACTGAGATGAATGAAGCTTAAAGAGAGTTCTCCTCCCATGAGATCATGCCATTGTGAGATCCAATCCTGTTTGCTTTTCTATTCTCAGCAACGTCTTAAGCAGTGAGTCAATTTAAAAAGTTTTAGTACTGTTTGCTTGATAAAATGAGGACGCCCACCATGTTGCTTTTAAAGGGTGGATCGCCTTTGGGGCTTTGGTGCAGGCAATTTTTATGGGCTCAAGGACTTTATACATGCCCTGGAACATGTAGAGTACAAGAGGAAGTAATACTGGAAAGCTGACGTGATTATTCCAAAGCCGAACACTTTAGACTTACTCAAAGCAGGGAAAGATAAAACTCTTTAGCGCCATCTCTGGTGTGCATTCATCTTATGCCAGGTGGGTCACTGTCTAGAAAAGTTCCTTTTTTTGGATGATAACTCCTTGAATCCTCCAGCCAACAGCAAGAAAGGATCCAAAATGGATACTGGCTCAAATCCTCTTGCTTAGCATAGTAAATTGCCCTAGAGCAGGCCCATTGACTCAACGGGGATTTACTGACTCCGCCCTTCCAAACATTCCACTGATTCACATAGGCCGACTTGAACAGCAACTTACTATGCCAAAAGATGATGCAAATAGAGTAGCCCCATTTGAATGAAAGGAACCAATGGAGGAGTCGGCATTGATTCAGTGGGGTCTACTCTCATGCAATTTATTAAGCTAAGCAACAGGATTCTGGCTAAATCTGCATTGATTCAGTGGGGTATCTACTCTCATGCAATTTATTAAGCTAAGCAACAGGATTCTGGCTAAATCTGCATTGATTCAGTGGGGTATCTACTCTCATGCAATTTATTAAGCTAAGCAACAGGATTCTGGCTGGAAAAACTGGAAAAAAACCCACCCACCTCTGATTAAAGCAGGGAGGTGTGGTTGTCTCCACAGTCCAAAATTCAGACCTTCAAAAAGTCTCTGCCACCATACTTTTGGTAGTAGTAGTAGTTTACAGATGGGAAATACCTCTGATTAAAGCAGGGAGGTGTGGTTGCCTCCACAGTCCAAAATTCAGACCTTCAACGAGTCTCTGCCACCATACTTTTGATAGTAGTAGTTTACAGATGGGAAACTGAGGCACACAAAAAACAAGCCTAGTGCAAAGGTATTCACAGCCATTTCTAGCTGTTTACCAAGAACCCATACTCTTTACCCACCCCTCTGTTCTGGCACACACCTCTACCAATGTTATCTTCAGCCTCCAGACCTGTACAGCGCTACGTTGCTTTAGCACTGCAGCTGAGTCAGCTGACTGACATCTTTAGGACACCTTTTAAAGAAGTGCTTTCGGTATTTGGACAGTCGTTCCCAACTTGGGTGTCTTCCTAAGGTGCTGGACTGCAATTCTCTTAACTCCCAGCCACATTTGGAGAGCACAAGGTTGAGAAAGGATGTTTTGCAAAAGGCAGCCAGGTGTTACCTACATTCCTTCCCATAAGTGCCCCCCCTCTCTCCCCCCACTTCGTAGAGCAGGACTGCAATCTAATCTTGTGTTAAGATATTAAACTCTACCCTGTTCTAGGCAGTTTACTAACCAAGCTGAGCTTGCAAGACAACTGCAGCCTGACTTTTTTTTTATTTCTTACAACCATTATTTACATAATCTCTATATTTTAAAAGCTTCAAGGGCTATGTTTTGATTTTTAATAGTAAGAACATGATCTTTTTGGTGATCTTATGTGGACACCACTGAGGTGCCGGGAGAATGCAATCATTTATTGACAGCACCTCCTAAATGACAAGACAATTTTGCAATGCTCGGGAAAGGCTGGCCTTGACACATTTGTTTAGGTTGCAAAAGGTAACAGGCACACACACCCCTTTGGAAAAAAAATACCTACAAGAAAATCATCTGTAAGAAAATGCACAGAGAGGCTGATGGAGCATCTCAACAGTTCTGCTTCCCAAAAGAAAACATAGATGAAATCTAGGAAGAGTCCAAAGTTGTACGCAGCCCACACACTTTTGCACAAGAGTAACCCCACAGAGTACAGTGTGCCTGAATTTCAAGTAAACACCCAGAAGATTGCAAAGCCAGCACCTAAAAATCATCCACTAGGACCTTGCAGCGAGGACCAGTTTTCTTTCAAAGGGGGGTGGCAGTTTGGGGGGGTTCAAAACAGCAGGATCAGCCCCTTGCAGAGGGGGGGCAGGGCAGCTCTCCACCATCAGTGGAAACCCCCCCACCCATCTTTGAGCCAGGATCCGACCCATTGGGACTCAGAGATGCTAAGTCATAAAACGACTTCGAAAATCAAAAGCAGTTTGAAGCGCTGGAAAGAGATCGCTGCTGCAAGACGGGGAAGGGGTGGAAGTCCGATCTTTTTAAATTTTTTTTTAAAAAGTAGTCATATTTTGGGGAAAATTAAAAAAAAATGCAGGGGGGGGGAGGAGGAGGCAGCAGCAACAATGGGAGGCAAGAGGCTCCAAAGCCATGACGTAATGCTTTGACAGCAGCGCCTATCCCGGCTGAGCCACCTAGGCTGTTGCTAGTGTTTCCCCCCCCCCAAGCATCATCCCCATCATCCTCCATTAGCGCTCTAGCTACAACACCCAACAGACCCAGGCTGCGTTTGCAACCTCCGCCCACCGAAGCCGAGCTGCTGAAGAAGTCTTTTGTTGGCAGAAGGATGATGTGCTTGTGTGTGCGTGTGTTTGTTTGCAGAAGGATGATGCATCTGTGCGCGCGGCTTCTTCCCCCCCCTCCCGGGAGGGAATCCCTCTCTCTCTCCTCTCCCCCCCCAAGTTTCTCCGCAGCTGCCTCTGAATGTGGTAAACAAGCCAGGCACGCAGGAGGTGGGGGAGAGAGAAGGGACGAGGAGGCGTGCCCGCGTGTCGGGTGTACGTGTGAATGGGAGTTTCCCGGGCAGGCAGCCCGAAGGGCCGAGCGGGACCCCCTCTTTCCCAAATGTGGGGGCTCGCAGAGGGAGGCTCTTCTCTCCCCCCCCAGGGGGGAGGAAAGGGGGCTTACCTCGGCGAAATAGAGGTTGAGGAGGCAGGCGGTGGCGAAGAGGAGGCAGACGGGGAAGCAGGCGAGGAGCCAGCGGGGGAAGGGCGGCAGGCGGAGGGCGGGCGGGATCGGGGCCCCCGGCTGGAGGGCGCGCTGCAGGTAGCAGGCGAAGAGGACGGTGCGCAGGGCGGCCCAGAGGAGGCCGAGGAAGAGCCCCACCGAGCGGTAGCCGAGGCGCTTCTCCCCCCGCTGGCCCCAGAGCAGCAGCCAGAGCTGGAGGTAGGCGACCAGGAAGGCGGCGGCGTAGAGGAGCGCCTGCCCCAGGCTCAGCCCCAGCTCCAGCCCCGGGGAAGCCGGCCCGGGCGACGGGCAGGAGGGGGAGGAGGAGGGAGAGGAAGGCGAGGCCGCGGAGGAAGGCACCGAGGAGGAGGAGGAAGAGGAAGACGAGGCGGAGGAGGGGGAAGGCGAAGGCGGCGGAGGGGTCCCCCCGCCGGGAGCCCCGGAGCCCCCCTGGAGCGCCACC